GGCTCTTGTTGCCTTGAGATGTCATGTCCATTATACTTGTATACCCTCCTGTAGCCCCCTGGTCCTTTAAAATATTATCTTGGTCCCTGTTTTTGAGGCCTGATCTATTTCCATAGGATGAGAGGGTAGAGTTTGACCAGATCTCACATGGTCTGTTGGAGTGGGAAGCAATAATTATTACCCCGTTCTTTATGTTTGAAGAATTGAGCCAAATTTTTTTTTAATGTATTTATTTATTTATTTTTGGCTATGTTGGGTCTTTGTTACTGTGTGCGGGCTTTCTCTAGTTGTGGTGAGTGGGGGCTACTCTTCGTTGCAGTGCCTGGGCTTCTCACTGTGGTGGCTTCTCTCGTTGCGGAGCACGGGGTCTAGGCACACGGGCTTCAGTAGTTGTGGCTCACGAGCTCAGTATTTGTGGCTCATGGTCTCTAGAGCGCAGGCTCAATAGTTGTGGCACACAGGCTTAGTTGCTCCGCAGCATGTGGGATCTTCCCGGACCAGGGCTCGAACCCATGTCCCCTGCATTGGCAGGTGGATTCTCAACCACTGTGCCACCAGGGAAGCCCCCAAATTTTACTTATATCTAACAATCAGGGATTTGGAAATTCAAAAACAGTAAAACTGTGTTATTTCAAAGCAGTAATTAACAAGGGGTTATAAAGCAGAAATTATATATGTACATACACACACTCAAATATGTGTATATTATATACACAAATATATATATTACATACACATGCATATATAATGTATGTGTATATATATATATTAGGATTTTAAATACCACAGTTCCTCAGTAAGTTTAGAAAATGATAGTGCTTTTACTAAAGAGCCTGAAATCCATCATTAACCAACATTTATTGAATGCCTGATTGTAAAGTATTTGCTTTGTACAGATTCTCATGGACTGAAATGATTGGTATCTTGCAAGCAGAGGACAAAACCAAATTATCCTTTAGTGATGTCCTTTCTTTTCTCAAAGTTTGTAAAATTTGAATCAAGTTTTCCCTTTGGGGACGTTCTATGTCTTTTTCTTGTGGTTTGTGCCGAGAAAGGTAAGCTCTGAAATGAGTCTACTTTTAATGTTTTCCAGCAGCACCAGATGAAGAGAGTACATCCAATATAACAAGAAAGCAGGTAATTTTAAATTCTCTTTTCTGATCTTTTCTGGTTGTGTAGGTAGAAGAGAGATAAAATAAGTACCCACATCTCACAGGAATAGACTACCCATGCACCTGGTAAAAAATTTTATTTGTGATTTTCAGATAATCCAAACTAAGCTAAATAGTTACTCTCTGGAAGAAAAATCTAGGTGGTCAGAAAGCTGACGCATTTCCTAACCATGAACAACACACGTTTGAAATTTTGAATCCAGAAATGGTTATCAGTTGAGGATGAAATGGCAGGACACTGAAAATTAGGAAATGTCCAAATCCATGGTGTTAACTTATATTCTATATCATGTTTTAAAAGTATAAATCCTTCCTTTGGGTTCATATTATTCTCCTAGGATTAAGTTTACCTCTTTACTATATGAAAATATAAATAAGTGGAAAGACAGGTTTTGATAAATCCTTTGTTTTTTTTTTGCAGAAGTGGACTGTAGAGGAAAGCGAGTGGGTCAAGGCTGGAGTGCAGAAGTACGGGGAAGGAAACTGGGCCGCCATTTCTAAAAACTACCCATTTGTTAACCGAACAGCTGTGATGATTAAGGATCGCTGGCGGACCATGAAAAGACTTGGCATGAACTGAAACAGGCCTTCATTTCCACAGAATTCACAGGAGCATGGTTCCTAATAATAGCCCCTGGTAGTCTGCTGTTTCTTTCAGAAGCTGGGCTGGGATGAGAATTTTGGGCATCTTCCTCCCATGTGGGGGAGGTCCCAGTTCCACTTCATCACAGTTGGAGATCATGGAGCTGAGAAACAAAGCCAAGTCCACCCCATGTCCTTGACAGAGATGACAGGCACATAGCTTGTACAGTGCCAGAATACCATTAGTATTTCCCTTCTTTAGTGGTTTGCTTGAATTTAAATCCCTGGTAATCAGTAGAACCTTCTCCTAGGAAATGGTGGAGTCTGTTAGGAGTCACTTTTGACTCCATGACCTGTTAAAACCAGCAACATGAGCATTATTTGGAGCGAACTTGTTCCAGGTAAAGCTTTGGCCTCCGGATGCACATGCAAAGGAACTTCATCTGTCATGAGCCCAGGTTGATGAGAAACCAGTCCTGGTGGAATCAGAGTCCCTTTAAAAACTGTTTAGCCACTTGTGACATCAACTCCTAGACGTGACTGCCTTGGCATTTGCTCTATTTGCTGGGCTATGTAGGCAGGTTTAACCTCCACTTCTCACGTGGTTGAACCAGTGTGGTTTTTGGTAAAATGGTGATTGTAGATAAGCTTAGCCCCTCTCCCCATCCTCTATTCCCAATTCCCTTCTTTATGCTGGACTTTTAAAGCTTAAAAAAATCCTGATTGAGTATAAATGCCTAATTCCATTCTTTGTGAAATGGTTGCTTCCGCCTGATTCCCTAATTGTGCTGTGTTAGTGTCTTGCACTGGAATTCAACATTCCCTTCTCCTTTTGTACTGTGTTGTGCTTGCTGTCTCTCAGACATCCTTAAAGACTGTCTTTTTAGGAAAAAAGAATTTCAGTAAAGTGTTTTCTGTAATTTTTTTAAAATGAGAATTATTGTCCATAACTTGTAGCATTCTTCATTAAAGTCTTGCTTCTCTCAAATTTAAGTAGCTGTTTAATTGCAGCTGAAAAGATGGAGGTAGCAAAATGCTGAACAAGCTTTGCTAAACCATATTGTCCATGTTAAGAAGCTGATGTCAAACTGTATTGGATGTTCTAATCCTTGGAAGCTGTGCCATACAGAGATGTGAAAGTTTCCTCTTAATTTGTCCATTTCTTCATATAACGTACCTCCGGGGACAAAATAATTCCTTTTTTCTCACTTTTGAGTGAGTGAAAGGCAAAATGTAAAGAAATGCTAAAGTTTAAAAATTCATCCTATAGTTGAAATTTGGAAACTTTGTACAGCTTTATTACCTATTAACTACGTGTTTGGGGGTTGGGTACTGCTGTTTTTCTAGCAATTAACCCCAAATGAAACTACAGTGAGAAGGCAAGAACTTGATCTCCACTCGATCTGGTTGTAGATACTTGTGATCTCCCTCCAAACCAAGCTTTAGGATCCAGAAGCTTTTTACCTTCAACTCTCACATTGTTAGATGGTGCTCTCTAGGTAGAAGAATGACATTGTGATACATTTAAGGAAGCAAAATATCCTAATCGTGTTTCTCAAAATTTGAGAAATGCATAGATCCATTAACATTTTTTAACATAACTTCAATGCTATCTTTATTATGTTATAAAATGTACACAGACATAAAACTCTGCCTACAGTTTCTATAGAACTATATACAACTTACCATGAACTGGTGATTGTTTTGCTGAATCTAAGTCACTGCTCACCACATGAGTAGTGCTAGGACTGTGGCAGTGGTGGGACTCTGGTGGGGATGCCTGTGCCACTATGTACTCAGAAATGATCCCAGTCTCTCCCACCTTCACCTTAGTGGGACTGCTGCAGAGCCACTGTGCCTCCAGACTGCTGTGATGTCATCTGGCCTTTGCTGGAACTGAACACAATTATGAAGTGTGTTCTTCATAACATAACACATAGCTTGTGACAGTTAAAGTATTACCACTTGGAGTCACTGTGATGCCTTCTGAAGCAATACTTGGTTAGAAGGTACTCATGCTGTTTTGTTTTTTAAGATTATGGCTAAGATAAAAACATTTAGACATTGTCAGAACTCAGAGACTTAACAGACACACTGTCCTGATGGGTAAGAGTCTGAGGCCCACTCAGGGCCCCAGCTTGTGCCAGCTGTGCTTGGAGATGGTGAGTTAGCCACTGGAATCTCTGGATGTCCATTTCCTCATCTCTAATGTAGTAAGTAATAGTACTTCCCATGTAGGCTGTTGTGAGAATAAAATAAGATGCACGTAAATGTCTCCGCCATGAAGTCAGCCTTTTTCCCCCTTTGGGTGCTGAAGAAGCCACAGATAAAAGAAAGATCAAGGGTTTCAACAAGTCTTTTTATTTATTTGTTTGTTTATTTTATTTTGGGGGGCTGCACTGGGTCTTTGTTGCTGCATGCGGACTTTCTCTAGTTGCGGCAAGCGGGGCTACCTTCATTGTGGTGAGCGGGCTTCTCATTGCTGTGGCTTCTCGTTGCAGAGCACAGGCTCTAGGCATGCGGGCTTCAGTAGTTGTGGCACGAGGGCTCAGTAGTTGTGGCTCACAGGCTCTAGAGTGCAGGCTCAGTAGTTGTGGCACACGGGCACACTAGTTCCGCGGCACGTGGGATCTTCCCGGACCAGGGATCGAACCTGTGTCCCCTGCATTGGCAGACAGATTCTTAACCACGGCGCCACCAGGGAAGTCCCTATAGTAGTCTTTAAGTGGATTTTGGATAGCTTTAGATGACTGTATCAGTCAGGTGGAAGGTAGCAGAATGAGGAGGATTATCAGTGGAGTTGTTTGACCACTGTCTCTTGCTCACTCTTCATCCATTTAAATTTTTACACACACTTCCATGCTGTGCTTTGCTCTCCTAAACTGTAGCACTGGGCAGAAAGAGGTCTGTTGAAACAGGTGTTGCCCCTCACGTCTTATAGGAGGGACACGTATCATCTAGCAATATGATACGAATGAGAAAAATCTCCCCAGCCACTGTGTACCGAGAAATGAGTCCGTACATTCAGGTGGTTGTAAATAAATTTGCCTAATGTTTACCCCCAAGAGGCAAGAACTGAAAAATGACAGCCCAGAGGAGGGGTGGAAATCTCTCTGCTGAAGTAATAGCTTCTACCTAGCACCCGTGAAGTAGGTCTGGTAAGCCACTGAGTTTTTGAGGTAAAAGCAAAATTCTTTCCTGTGAGCCAAACGTGGGGTACCATGCCAGTTCTATTCTGGAATATCTATGTGTGGCCCTGAGACTGGCCTATGTGTGACTTGCAGAGTTAATGATTATCCCAGCAGTTGTCTAAACTGCTTGGTTCCACTGGGCTGCTGCAAGCAGTTAGAGCAGTCTCCAGAGAGCAGCATGTTCCCCTTGCTCTTTGGTGCTGGACTGGTGGTTCTGAACCTAGTGAGCTCTGCAAGGAGCCAGAAGACAGAACCTCTTAGTGGCTCTGGGGACCAGCCCCTCTTCCGTGGTGCGGATCGATACGACTTTGCCATCGTGATCTCTCCAGGAGGCACAGAATGCTTTTGGCAATTTGCCCACCAGACTGGATACTTCTATTTCAGTTATGAGGTGGGTCATACTGGAGACTTGTTTTTCTTGTTTGTTCATTTCCTTTTGTAAAGGGGGTCAGGTTTTAAATGAACACAAGGTTCTAGTTGTCTTTATTATGCTGTGACTCCCTACCTGTTAATGAAACAAACCTGCAGTTAAATGGAAACTCCATTTAACTGATGGATGAATAATCACTAAAACATATGGTTTGGCTTCTCAAATTGAGGGCTGTGGAAGTGTGCTCAAAGTCATGGGACAAACCGGGTGCCTCTTCCTGGAGAGGTAATCATCACACTTCCTCGAGTTTAGAGATGAGAGGCGAAAGAATCCATTTTTTAAATATTAAAATAATAGGGATATGGTACCAAGTTGAATGAAAAGTCACATGAACTTTGGAGACAAACCCAGAGATTTCAAAGATGCTTCAGTTTATGAGGTTGGGGGAGCAACATTTACTCTCTTGCCTTTAGGGGTAATTCCAGCAAATTGGAGAATCAGTAACTCAAGGCTTCTCTATGCAGTCAGACAAACCTGTTGCTATTAGGAAGGTAAATGTTTTCAAGTTGCCTGTTCACAGGCCAAGTACTTTAATCCATGCTGTGCCCAAGGATGGTCTGCTCAACAGTAAACTTAGAAGCTGTTCATTTCCTTTGTTCTTTATCTTAGAAACCTATTAACTTTCTAAATTTTGTTTACAGAGTAAAAGACTATGTTGATCTTATTCTACGCCAGTGTAACTTACAACTTATTTTAAATTAACCTATCAGAGATTTTTCTTATCTCTGAATTTATAATAGAATAGTAGCTACTAGTCAGGTCACTGTAGCCTGGGCTTATCAAGACGCAGCTTGGAGGCAAGTACCTATTGAATGCCTTATTTATTTACTGTAAAGCATTAAATAAGCCCAAATCTGGTATACCACTGAGGAGGTCAAAACCAAGTGAGTTCAGCTGAGAACTCTACAGCCAGATTCATATACACCAACATGTCAGCTCCATGGTCTGAGACATGTTTTCTTACCAGGGGTGCTATTGGCATTTGGGTCATTTCTTTGTCCTGCTTACTATTTCTAACACGGCAGGCTGTTCAGCATTGCTGTCCCCGCCCCCCTTCCCCTACTTGCAACACCAGGGCACCGTCTCAGCCCAAATTCAAAGTGGGGGTTGGGCAGTACCATCCCTGATTGAGAACCAGTGTGCTGATGGTCACTGGATGTCAATCTTACCATTCAGCTAGCTTCCTGATGATGCAGCAGGAGCTTTTCTCCCTGTTTAATGTGTCTCGGCAGGTTCAGCGGACACTGGGAATGTCACATGACCGGCATGTTGCTGCCACTGCACATACCCCACAGGGTTTCCTTATAGACACCATTAAGAATGTTCGGGGCCAGATTAACTTCTCCACCCAAGAGACAGGTCTGTTTTTGTCATCACGGCTATTATAATAATCATACGTTTCTTTGAAATTGGGAAAATAATGAGGAAATATTGAAATTAATTAAGTATCTGAGATGTAAAAGCTCTGGCTTTTTCACATACGGATGGTGAAATAGTAAGAAAAGATTTAGCCTTCAACACCAAAAACCAGATTTCCTGGAGACTGCCAATGGCCAAGGACATCAGCGGTCCACTGGCAGTTTGGAAGCAGTCTCCAGGTGACTAATTATTATAACTCCAGGGTCCAGAAGCTCGATTTTATCTTATCATCTCCAACGAACCAAATTATTGGAAAGTGATCAAAACAGGCAGACCCATTTATGATACAGAATTCCAATTAATAAATTTATTATGGGATAGTATTTCTTTTCAGTCATCAAAACACTTGAGCCAGTTACCAAAAAGCAGAACACAAGGAAATGCATGGCCATGAAAAATATCCACATTCTACAACAAAGCACTTCTCCAGTCACCAGAAAATTCCTACAGCCAGATCGAGCCTGTCCTCACCCTGGACGGCACCAGTCAGTTTGAACTGTCCTCTCTACCAGCCAGGTGCACAAAAAAAGACTATTTCTCAACAGGGACATAAGAGAATCACTGCGTGCCACAGGATATTCAGCATTATTATGCAGCATCTTTGGCCCCTACGTAGTGCCTTCCAGTCATTGGGACAATCAAATACACTGCCACACCTTTCCAACCCTGCTCCTCCTCACTCCTCCCCCATCACCACACGCGGAGAGGTGACCCCAGTTGAGAACAAGCACCAGTACATACCCCAACCATCAGCCCCCATACAGACCACCTTGCAGGAAGTTACTCCAGTAGGATAGCTTCTTTCATTCACAAAGCATACATTTTTTCCCTACTTTCAAATTCAAATGATATCCCAACTCTCATGGTATGCAAGAAGCAAACACTATGCTCTTAATATGCTCTTGATCAGAAATTCCTTAAGAGATGTGAGAATTATACGTTGAAAAAGAGGAAGAAAACATTTTCTATCCAACATAGAGCTAAAGCTACTAATATTTGGCAAAACAATATTATAATTAGTAAAATAAGTTTCACGTAAGATCAGTATCTTCCACATCAAAAACTGGATTTTGTACTTCCTAAGTAAAAAGAAGGTGCTATAGTAGCACATTTAACACTGGAGAACAGTTATCTCCAGGGAAATCTAGAGGGTGGGAGGGTGAGAGACCAAGACTTGGTAATGATCTAGGGATTCCTACAGGTTTTTATCAGCTTTGTCTAAAAAATCAGCAAAATCGCTTTGGTTCTGTGCAAGTATACCTCAATTTTGGAGTCTTCTATGAGGGGCCTGAGATGGACCACAAAGAGAAGAATGAAAGAAAACAACTGAATGATACTTTGGATGCAATTGAGGTAATTGTTTTGTGTGAGAGAAACATCCATGGAAACTGACTTTAAATTTGGAGGAAAGATTAGAATTATGGGAGTATTATCATCAGTGAGGGCTCATTTGGGTAGAAAACAAACAGGCAAAGGGATTTGAAGCCTTTAATTAATTTTGTGACTTGGAGCTCTTGAAATTCCTCACTTGTTTTATACCAGGAATTGGCAAACAATGGTTCACAGGCCAAATCTGGCCCACTGCCTGTTTGTTTTTTAACTTAGATACAATTCACCACTTTAAGTGTACAGTTTAGTGGTTTACAAGGTCCTGCAACCATTACCAGCATCTAATTCCAGAATAGTTTCATCACCCCAAAAAGAAACCGCAGACCTATTATTCACTGTGTTCCCCATGCCCCTCAGCCCTGGGTAATCCCTCACTAATCTACTTTGTTTATATAGATTTGCCTGTTCTGTACACTTCATATAAGTGGAATCATACAATGTGGCCTTTTGTCTTTGGCTTCTTTTATTTAGCATGTTTTCAAGGTTCATCCACATTGTACCATGTATTAGTACTTCATTCCTTTTTCTGGATGAATAGTATTCTATTGTATATTTAAAACACATTTTGTTTATCTACTTATCAGCCGGTAGACATCTGGGTTATTTCCACTTTCTGGCTATCATGAACAATGCTGCTGTGAGCATTTGCCTACAAACTTTTGTGTGAACATGCTTTCATCTCTGTACACATATAAGCAGTATACTCTGCTGGCACATATGGTAACTTTTTACCTTCACTGAGGAACTGCTATATTCCACAGTGGCTAAACCATTTTACACTCCCACCAGCAGTGTATGAGTGTTGCAATTTCTCCATATCCCTGCCAACATATTATAGTCTTTTTTGCTATAGCAATCCTAGTGGGTATAAGTGGTATCTTGTGGTTTTTGAGTTGTGTCTCCCTGACACTGAGCGTCTTTGCATGCTTTTTTGGAGAAATATCTATTCAAATCCTTTGCTCATTTTAAAATCTGGTTATTTGTCTTTTTATGATTGAGTTCTAAGAGTTCTTTATATATTCTGGATACAAGTCTCTTAACAGATATATGATTTGCAAACATTTTCTCCCGTTCTCTGGGATCTCTCTTGACTTTCTTGATAGTCTGCTTGACACACAAAAGCTCACTGCCTGTTTTTGTAAGTGAAGTTTGACTAGAACACAGCCATGCTCATTTGACAATTACAGTTGGCCCTCTGTATCTGCAGATGCAGAACCTGCAGATGCGGAGGGCCGACTATGGGACTTTAGCATCCTCTGCAGGTCCTGGAACCCATCTCCCCACTGATAATGAGGGACAGCTAACTGGACATATTGTCTATGGCTGCTTTTGTGCTACAGTGGCAGAGCTTAGTAGTTGCAAGAGACTGTATGGCCTGCAAAGCCTAGAATATTTACTGTCTGGCCCTTCCATAAAAATCTGCAGGCCTTTATCTTTTACCATATACAAAGAACAGAAGACATCACCCAGAACAGCAATGATGTGCTGAGTACATGTCTAAATCTAGAGATACTCTGGAGGAACTTTCTAGTTTTAGCACTGAAGTTTTTCATTATAAAAATTATTTTTTTAAAACTGAAGTCCAGGCCATTTTTTCATAGACAACAAAACTAGCATTTATCAACAACTCCAACAGCCAATTTAGTACATATTATAAAATCATAAGTTGCTCAACTTCCAGATAAACCAGGTTAGTGCTGGTGGGTACCCAGGGAAGGCTAGATGAGGTTACGGAGGAATCCTTTCTGTATTTCATTTTCTGTCCTGCAGAAGAGTACACGAAAGCTGCAGAACAATATCTTTCACATGTGGCGATACTACAACTTCGCTCGCATGAGAAAAATGGCTGACTTTTTCCTACTCCAGTCAAACTATAACTATGTGAATTGGTGGTCGACAGCCCAGAGCCTTGTTATTATTCTTTCTGGGATCCTGCAGCTGTATTTCTTGAAGCGTCTCTTCAACATCCCAACGACTACAGACACAAAGAAGCCAAGATGCTAAGCTCGAACAACTACAGTGCCCTGGCTCTTTTCTTCTGGGGCACAAGCTCTCTCAAATCTTTGTAAAGTTATTGGGAAAAAAATCAATTTTTCTTGGTAGAAAGTTGTAGCCTATTGCTCTCATCTACACAGGCAAAATAGCAATAAATAAAAGTGTGTAAAGTTTTGACGTTGACTATTTCTAAAGTACACACTAAATGCTACCATTAAAATACTGTCCATCGTACTGCAGCCCCTTAACCTTCACTATGTCTATTTAGAAATTAACAGAGAACCTTGGAAGGGAGAAAAGTTGAAAAATATGGGACAAAAACATATAAAACTGGGTTTTATATGTTGCATACAAAAACAGAAGTTGGTAGAGTGCTTTTTTGTAATTGAAAAATGATTTATTTTTAGAGATGTCACCTTTGGAATTTAAATTAAGCAGTATATGCACTAAAGAAATCGCTTTACAATACAGGTACTTAAAAATTTTTTTGTCTGTGATATGTTTTTCACTAAAAAATATTTTAATAATTCTAAAAATAATTTTGGAAGGCATGGGAGAAGGATGGAGGAGCTAAATTATTATTTCAGGGTCTCTGAGTAGTGCTTTTTGTCCAGTCCAGTCATGTAATTAAAGATTTGTAAGAATATATGTATAAATGAATCACTTTGCTGTACACCTGAAACTAACCCAATACTGTACGTCAACTATACAATAAAAATATTTTTTTAATTAAAAAAAAACCCAAAAGATTTATAAGAGAAATTGTTTTAGAAATCAAGGTGACAAAAATAACATTCAGCCTGGGATCATACCATTCAAGAAAAAGAGTGAGAAAACTGCTTGTAAAAGCCAAGATAATACAATCAAATTATGTTCATAAGATCCTACTCTTACTAACAGAAATACTCAGTATAAACAGTACAGAAATAACTCTTACCATTTATTCAACACTCTCATTTGCCAGGCACTGTGCTAGATGCTTCATGATCACGATTTCCACTTCTAAAAACTATTCTTAGGAAGACGGCTAGGCTGCTTTTTGAAACAGAAGGAAATGAAGCTTATTAAAGTTTAATGACTCATCTAAGGCCACACAGCTGGTAGATGTGAGAACCGGTGTTTGAATCCAAGTTTTTCTTCCACACTACACAGCACCTACCGTAAAGAAAATCGGCAGAATAAACTGCTCTTACTGTTTTATCCAAATTTCATTTGTAAAATTCCACACACAACCTACTATTCTGATGGCAATATCTATCTTTCATAGTATTAATAAATAAGAAAATTCATTATGTTCTTATCATGTGTTTGAAAAACAGTGTTATCACAGATAACAATAATACGCTATTCTTGTCCTCAGTTCCAACAATTTAGAACCTGTTACTCAAAACAAGAAGCCCTCTGATTCAAATATAAAACACAGCATTCTAGTTAGTCATAATCACAAAGATCCAAAACCCCGTTTTTGAGCCATTTCTGCATAATAAGAATCCAGCCTGCATTTGTCCATAATAGAATATTAAACTAAGAAGTCCCTGAAGAGGTCACAGTGTTGACAAAATTCAACATGATGGTGGAGCCTACACAGACACAGGAAACAAAGCTAGGCCCTTCCACACAGCCACAAGTCCTCGCGATGATTTCGTTTTAAGTCAATGTCTCTTCATGCCGCACATATTCCCCAATGTCTGCTTGATGAAATACCACAATCGCCATGGGGTCTACTTTCCTGCAGTCTTGTGTAGACTTTGCTGCCACCCCAAAACCCTGGGATTCAAAAGAAGAGACACTGATTCACTCAAGTCATTCAATAAGTACGTATTGAGGTCTGGAAACAACAAAGACGAAAAGATACAGTTCTTTGAAGAATTCAAAAGGTGTTGAGAATTTAGTCTCTCAAGCGCAGACTGAAAATACATCTATCTTGAATAAAAAGATACTTGATTTTTTAACAGCAACCATCTCTACTCACCAAAGGGATGTCTGCCATGGAGTACACCACAACTCCCTGGTACTGAGAAGTATTTTCAGTGATTCGACCAAGTCCAGATTTCAGCACATGGTTCCCATACAGGAAAGATTGCTCTGCTCCAGGTTTTATCCACACTTTATACTGTAAAAAAGAGAATTAAATCCAAGAGACATAAAAATGCTAAATAGTTAGACCCCTGCAGATAGGCTAACTGCTAGATCTATGGTTAATTTCTTTCTTTTTATCCCTATGAACTAAGTTTTTTTGGTTCTTTTATTTCTTTCCAGTTGAAGTACAGTAATCTACAATACTATGTTAGTTGAAGGTGCAAAACATAGTGATCTGATATTTCTATACATTATAAAAGGATCACAATAATACAAAGTTATTGTATCTGTGTCGTGTCATCTGTCTCCATACAAGATTATTAAGATATTACTGACCATATGCCCCATGCTATATATGTCACCTGTGAGGTTCGTCTGTCTTGTAACATGAATTTTAAAGAAAAGAGAGAAAGAGTCATGCTTCCCTTAATATGTTCCCCCCGTGAAGAGACCTGCCAGGAGGTTCTTACCTCGACTCTACAATCAACTTCTCCCATGGGTAGTTTAACAGCTCTTTTTCTGTACCCCACTACGCTCCTCTTCACAGCCACCTATTTGCTTTTCGGTCTTGAGCTGGGTCTGCATAGGCTTTTCAGTTTCTACTGGAGATAACTACCACTACGCGGCCACACAGGGCTCCTACACCTGAGCCCCGACCACGCCCAGGCAGCAAGATGTACACACATCTCCAGGTGCTGGCACTGACCCTAAGCACCGTCAGCGACTCCGCAGCAGAAAAGGTGCCCAGTTCTGCCTTCTGATGTGGCCCTCAGCCTAGTCTTCCTCCATCCCTAGTGGCAGACTGACAACACTCCACAAACCTTGGCATACGGTGCTAGGTAATCCAGAGCCGTGATGTGCAACCGAAACTTGTGGGTCTTCGTGAATTTTCCGAAGCACGTCCCCAGCGACACCAGCTTGTCACCGGAGATGTTGGCGGCCAACTTCAAAATCTTCTCACTGAAGGGATAAAGAAAAAGGCAGTGTCAGATGAGGGAGGCTGGAGGGACCCAGGACCCCACCCGGCTCCATGCTGCCTACCCGGCCCCGCGCCGCCTCACCTCACGTAGTACACCCGGTCGTTGTGCAGCCTGAAACAGTAGGTGCCGTCGGGCCTGTCGACCAGCAGCTGCAGATTCTCCCCGATGCTGAGAGCAAAAGGAGGACTGGAGGCCGCGCCCGGACTCATCCCGGCACCGCGCCCCCCGCTCCACCCACGCCCCTCCGCGCCACCCACACACTCCCTCTTCTGCCCCGCGCACTCTTACTATTTTGCTATCTTCTCAAACATTACTCGCGTCTCCTCTTCAGTCAGAGGCCGCATTTTCCCGCTGGGTTGGAACGCCGGATCCTCGTGCCTCAGCTACCGGAAACGGAAGATCAGCCGCCAGCCGCTCCTTGGCAACCTCAAAGCCTGCCTCTCTAGCTGCTTTCCAGTCGTTTCCCCACGCTAGCGCCCCGTAACCTGGACGACTATCGGGGAAAGAAAGCGGGCCTGATGAGAAACCATAGAGACCGGAAGTACGCTCCGGCTGCTTTCGGTTCTACGGAGTCAGCGCCCTCGCTGAGCGGGAGGGGAAGTGACGCTGCTGCTGAGAAGATGGCGGCGACGGCGACTCTCCCACTTTCGACTACGGCCTCGGCCACAGCGATGGCCACCGCGGCTACTCTCGGAGAGGTGGAGGATGAAGGGCTTCTGGCGTCGCTGTTCCGGGACCGCTTCCCGGAGGCCCAGTGGCGGGAGCGGCCCGACGTGGGCCGCTACCTCAGGGAGTTGAGCGGCTCGGGGCTGGAACGGCTGCGGCGCGAGCCCGACCGCCTGGCCGAGGAGCGAGCGCAGCTGCTGCAGCAGACGCGCGACTTGGCCTTCGCCAACTACAAGACCTTCATCCGCGGCGCCGAGTGCACCGAGCGCATCCACCGCCTCTTTGGCGACGTGGAGGAGTCGCTTGGCCGCCTGCTCGACCGCTTGCCCAGCTTCCAGCAGAGCTGCAGGTGCGGCGGGTCCAGTGCTAAAGGGGCTTTTAATACCTGTAATCGCTATCATTTACGACGATAGAAATAGCTAACACTTAGATAGCGCTTACCATATGCCAGGTTCTCCTCTGAGCATTTCATTAATCCATTTAAACTGCACAGCAGCCTTCGAGGTAGATATTGTTATTTGCATTTTGTGTATGAGGAAGTTAAGACAGAGGTTAGTGACCGTCCCAGGGCACAGCTAGTAAGTTTCGAAGTCAGAATTGGAACCCAGCAGCACGTCCCTCCCTCATAGGGCTGTTGTGAGCACTAAATAAAGAGAATCCATGCAAAGCACTTATCATTGGGTCTGACATAATTAACACTCTACAATTGTCAGCTTAATATATGTGCATATTTATGTAAACCTATACACACAACACACAAACAACACACATGTACACACAACAGCTTGGACCAGAGGTCATCTGCTCTAAACCGTTCATTGATAGGAGGCTGACAAGAAAATCCTCCCATTTGGGGACAGTAAAAATCATCATCCAAAAAAAAAAAAATCTTCCTTTTTGACCCATATTCTCCCTCCCTCGACCCTCAATCCATTATCCCTAATTCTGCCTTCCAGTCTTTCGTGATAAAAGTTTAAGTTTTCTTTTGAGTCTTTGCATATTTGAGAATAGCTTTCATACTCTTCCAATCCCCTAGAATAGATGGAGGGCTTCACAAAGCAGGTGTCTGCAGTTACCGAGAAGAAATGGAGACTGTAGCAGGAACTGAGGTTGGACCATAGCATAGGAGAAGATTAAGAGGCTGAGGGAACTTGGGGGTAAGGCTGTAGTTCTAGGCTAGTTAGGGCATTATGAAAATAATAAGAATAGCTGTTATTAAAGGAACATTTACTCCATATCAGGTCCTATGTTAAATGCTTTATACACATCATCTCATTTAATCCTCACATCCTTATGAGGTGGGTCCTGTTACTATTTTACCAATGAAGAAACAGTTCAGAGAGCCTAAGTACCTTGCTACAGCTTGTTAAGTGGCAGATCTGGGTTCAAATCTTGTTATCACTTATTAGTTGTGTGATCTTGGACAAGTTGCTTAAAATCTCTGGGATTAAAATTTAAAGGGTAAAAGTACTTATCTAATGGGGTTGGTGTGAAGATTAAATCAGATAAATCAGCCCAGTGCTCAGTTAATAGTAAGTGCTTGGTCTTTGTAGCTAAGGCTTGGATGCAGAGCAGTGAACCAACAATGTACTCCTGATTGTTACTAGGAATTTTGTGAAAGAGGCTGAGGAGATCAGCTCCAATCGCCGAATGAACACCCTGACTCTAAACCGGCACACGGAAATCCTGGAAATCCTGGAGATCCCTCAGCTCATGGACACCTGTGTCCGGAACAGCTATTATGAAGAGGCCCTGGAGCTTGCAGCCTACGTACGCCGACTGGAAAGGAAATACTCCTCCATCCCTGTCATCCAGGTAGCCAACTTGCCCAGAGAGGACTCAAGCTGATGTTCTTGTTATCAGTAATTCTGTGGTCGTCACTGACCCTTTAGGCAGAAACCTTAGGGGAACTCCTTGCATTTTTCATATCAGTTTCTGCAAGGCAGGCAGGCTTGATCATAAAACATACATTCATTATTCAGTCAGCTGATAAATATTAATCATGTGCCAGGCATTGATCTAGGTGCTGGGGGTACAATGTGAACAAAGACAAGGCCTTGGCTCTCATAAGCTGCTAGTTGGCAAATAAATAAATAATATCCTTTCAGCTAGTGTTAAGTATCTTAACAAAATAAACCAGGGAATGGGGCAGGAGGCTAAGGTGGGTTACTCTAGGTAGAGTGGTCAGGAAAGGCTCTTCTAGTGAGATAACATTTAAGCTGAGACCCAGATGACAAGGAGCCAGCCACATGAAGATGTGGGGGGAGAGCCAACCAGAAAGTGGTACGAACAAGTATAGCAGGCTAAGGAGGGAAGAAGTTGGAGTGTTTGAAGTATAAAGATAGCCATTCTGGCTGGATTGCAGTGAGCAAGGGGAGAGCATTCGGAAGCAGGTGAGGGCAGGAGAACCAGGCAGGGCCCGTAGGCCGCAGTGAACCAAACCTTTGCTGGTGAACCTGTATGTATCAGTTTTAGGAAATCTACTTCGTATGTCAGGACAGCAGTGGGAATGTTGGTCTGCAGTATTCAGGGTTAGTGGAATGGGTTCCAGGGAGTGTCTTTCCCAGCGTGGTGACTCACCCCCTGTGTCGTCAGGGCATTGTGAATGAAGTGCGCCAGTCCATGCAGCTGATGCTGAGCCAGCTGATCCAACAACTGAGGACGAACATCCAGCTCCCTGCCTGCCTCCGTGTCATTGGCTTCTTACGGCAAATGGATGTCTTCACCGAGGCTGAGTTGAGGGTCAAGTTTCTTCAGGCCCGAGATGCTTGGCTCCGTTCTATCCTGACTGCCATCCCCAGTGATGATCCCTATTTCCACATCACGAAAACCATCGAGGCCTGCCGTGTCCATCTGTTCGATATTATCACCCAGTACCGTGCCATCTTCTCAGACGAGGACCCGTTGCTGCCCCCTGCCATAGGCGAGCACACCGTGAATGAGAGTGCCATCTTCCATGGCTGGGTGCTGCAGAAAGTCTCACAATTCCTGCAGGTGCTGGAGACCGACCTTAACCGAGGGATAGGCAGCCGTCTGGACTCTCTGCTGGGCCAGTGCATGTACTTTGGACTGTCTTTTAGCCGGGTAGGGGCTGATTTCCGGGGTCAGTTAGCTCCTGTTTTCCAGCGAGTGGCTATCAGCACTTTCCAGAAAGCAATTCAGGAAACGGTCGAGAAGTTCCAGGATGAAATGAACTCCTACACCCTCATCTCGGCTCCAGCCATCCTGAGCAGCAGTAACCTGCCTGCTGCCGTTCCAGTCACTCAGCCGGGGACCCTGCAGCCGCCCATGGTGCTCTTAGACTTCCCACCCCTTGCCTGCTTCCTCAACAATATTCTGGTCGCCTTCAATGATCTGCGCCTCTGCTGCCCCATGGCCCTGGCACAGGATGTGACTGCGGCCCTGGAAGATGCCCTTGCCAAGGTGAGCACATACTCTTGGCTCTCTTCTGGGGCCTCCTTTAGTAACAGGTGGCCAGACTTTTGTAATAAACCAGTCTGTGTGACAGTGGTGCCTGCTGACTTCAGTTTAGTGTGATTTTAGAGGTTTTTCTGGTTGAAAAGCTCTGGTTAGTGCCCTTTCATGAAGTGTCTCACCTGTAGTAATGGTTCAGTAATATACTGATTTTCTATTGCTGCATAACAAACTCACACAAACATAGCAGCTTAAAACAACACACATTTATCATGTCTCAGTTTCTGTCGGTCAGGAGTCCAGGCACAGCCTAAATGGGTTGGTCCTCTGCTCACAAGGTTGTAATCAAGGTGTTGGCCAGGCTGTGGACTCATCTGGAGCTCAGGGTCCCCTCCTTTCAAGCTCACTCACAGTGGCAGATTTCTGTTCCTTACAGTTTTAGGACTGAGGCCCTCAACTCCTAGAGACCAGCCCACTCCACAGGCAGTTCAGTGTGGCTTTTTGATTCTTCAGAGCCAATGGGAGAGCATCTCTCCTTGCTAAGTCTCCTTTAGGGGAGTCCTCAACCCTCTTTTAAGAGGCTCATCTAATTAGGGTAGGCCCACCCAGGATAACCTCCCTTTTCATTAATTCAATCAGCCAGTTAGGGATGTTAATTAAAACAGCCAAATCCTTCACCTTTGCCATATTCTGTGGGTTAGAAACAAGTCACAGATTCTGCCTGCACTCAAGGGGAGGAGATTACACAAAGGAGTGGATACCAGGGGGCGGGGATTACAAGAGCCATATTAGAATTCTGCCTAATACAAGTAATACTACCAATATTGCTAATATCCGAGTGTGGTGCACATTTTTTACACATTAAATCTTTAGATATTGGGTGTTTCTTATAATTGACGACATCTTACAGTTGCTGTCAGCCAGGTGGCAGTTGTGATGTGGTTGTATAAAATCTTTCTGTTGATGTCCTCCTGTAAGAAAGAGCAAGGAGGGCTTCCCTGGTGGCGCGGTGGTTGAGAGTCCGCCTGCCAACGCAGGGGACCACGGGTTTGTGCCCCGGTCCGGGAAGATCCCACATGCCGCAGAGCGGCTGGGCCCGTGAGCCATGGCTGCTGAGCTTGCGCGTCTGGAGCCTGTGCTCCACAACAGGAGAGGCCACAACAGTGAGAGGCCCGCGTACCGCCAAAAAAAAAAAAAAAAAAA